TTCATAATCCTACCAGTAAAAGTGTTCCTAACAGTGTTCAGCCTACCAATTACCTCTACCCATTTTTTTCAGATTCCTCTTTCTTAAGCACAAATGAAAAGCATTCAAATATTGTAGCATTGCCCTGAACCTCTAAGCACATCTCAACCTCTATGGTCCTAACAGGATCCACCTCACATCTTATCACAACCTATAGCATATACACCAGTTGAAGACTTTTTGGTCTCCTTTTATGTATACATTCTACTTTCGTTCTTTCTTCACAGTCATACTTTCTGATCCAACTGTTATTTCAACATGTTGTATTTGGCCTGATATGCATCATACACTTTTTTACAGTTATTTTCTGTAACTCCCTAATCACCCAAGGAGCACTGGGTTTGATTCCCTTATCTTTTGCCCTTCTTCCATGTACCTAGCCTGTATCTGAAGCATTTCTTCTTTCAAAATGATCCATTCTTCTGTTAAAGACTTTACTGTTGGTTTCTGGCTCCATTTTAGATCCAGACAATTTAGGAGTGAAAACTCAAAGCATTTCTACACTCAATTGCTATTAGAAATCTGGAATCCTTCCCACAAAGGCTTCTTAAGACTGAGTAAATTAAACCATTTAAAGACTGCTTAACTTTAGAGTTTAGCAGAAAAGTATTGAAGACTGGAACAGTAAACAAAAAATTCTAGTTTAGAATTTACAAACGCACAAGAGGCAAGACCTTTTCCAAACACATAACATTAATTTATAATAGAATGTTCTTCCTTCTATGCAAAATAAGCAAGAGATTGGTACAATACTTAAAAAAAAAAAACTGCTTCAGGAATATCAACAAAAGGAAGCAAGATGAAGTTTCTGTGACATTTTGATTTTTAAAATCGTTTCAAAATTATACTCCATTTTAAAATGAACTACTAGAAAATTTAAAAACAATTTGCTGTTAAAGCTCAGCAGGTCTGGCAGCATTTGAAGAGAAATCAGAATTAATGTTTTGGGTCTGGTGACCCTTCCTTAGAAAGCTTATCCTGGTAAATCTATGCAAATTCAACATCTCACGCACAATTACTTAAAATTTTTCATTTGTCAAACAAAGGGAATTTTAAGTAGCTGTTTGTAATACGGAACTTTGAATGTTGCTGCTAAAATACATTTGTAAGAATACAAATTCAAGGGGAAAAACCAAAAGTTTGTACTGCATAAGAGGAGGTTGGCAAGAGTTCCAATTTGGTGAGGTACCCACTGATGCTGATTGACAGTTAATTGCCAAGTATCTGCCTTAGAATTATAAAACGTGCACGTTGATTCTGATTGCTCAGAGAAATGCTGTGTCGAATGAATCAGTGACTGGCTGCTGCTAATTTCATTCAGTTAAATAGGCACAGTGCATGTATGTTTTTTTTTGTCTTTAAACTGAGACCTAAGTATTCATGTACTTCACTGCCAATACATTCAAGTGAACAACACTTGAACCCAACAGACAAAGCTAAATTGGTTGTCAGCATAGAACGTAGAAAATTTACAGCACAGAAAGAGGACATTTAAACTACCGTGTTCACGGTGGCGAAATAAACTAGCCGCCAACTTGAATCACGCTTACAAGCTTGCGGTCCAGACCTTGCAGGTTACAGCACTTCAGGTTCAGTCCCAGGTTCATTTTAAATCAGTTGAGCATTTCTATCTCAACCACCAAACTGAGCAGGGAATTCAAGACATCCATTAACATCAGAGTGAAAACATTTTTCCTCATGTTTTTTCCAAACTTTCCACGAATTATGTTAATTCTGTACACCCTGATAACTGGATCTCTCCATTAGGGAAAGCAGTCTTCCCTATCTGTTCTATCCAAGCCCTTGATTATTTTGTATACCTTAAGTTGCCCCTCAGCCCCCTTAATGTTCAGAAAAGTAACTCTCGCTGACATAATCTTTTCTCATATAATTTTCAAACTCTGGAAACATTCATGTCAATCTCTTATTTCTTTCTCCACAGCAATTATGTCCTTCCTGTAATGTGGTGATCAAAACTATATATTATGCTCCAGCTGTGGCCTGACTAGTATCTGCTATAAATCCAGCATTACATTTCTGTCTGTGTATTCAATAACTTGCCAAGCATCCTTCTTTACTACCTTGTCTATCTACCCTGTCACCTTCAAGAACCTGTTGACATACACTGAGTGACTTACTTCCTTTGTTCCTCTCATTACCCTCGTATGTGTATTCCCCTGTTTTGTCTGTCTTCTCCAAATGCATAATCTTGCACATCTCCATACTGAATTCCATTTGCCTCTTTGCTGTCCATGCAGGGTGGCACGGTGGCTCAGTGGTTAGCACTACTGCCTCCCAGCACCAGGGACCCGGGTTCAATTCCACCCTTGGGCAACTGTCTGTGTGGATTTTCACATTCTCCCCGTGTCTGCGTGGGTTTCCTCCCACAGTCCAAAGATGTGCAGGCTCGGTGGGTTGGCCATGCTAAATTGCCTGTAGTGTTCGGGGATGTGTAGGTTAGGTGGGTAAAAGAGGGGTGGGTCGGGGGTGGTGGGTGGGGATGCTCTGATGGTCGGTGTGGACTTGTTGGGCTGAAGGCCTGTTTTCACACTGCAGGAATTCTATGATCTATGATCAATTAAACCATAGATATCTTGCGGCAGCTGACAGCTATCCTCTTTACTGTCAATTCATCAGTCAACTTTTGTATTGTCGTAAAATTTCCTAATCATGCCTCCAACATTTAAATCATTCATATATACCACAAACAGCAAGGGAACCAAAACGGAGCCTAGCGAAACACCAGTTGAAAATGATTTAGTGTTCTCCACTTCAGCATCAGGTTTGTACAGTGAACAAATAGCGCTGGCCTTACTTAGAGGCTGCTGACAAGGCAAGTCTTACAGCACATATAACCGTAGGAATCCTAACATATGTACTTACACACGTTGGTAGGTTTGTGGAAGACAGTTGCAGGAGAACCCCTGGCCAATTTCTCAACTTGAATATAGAGCTATCCTGATCCCGTCATCTCTCCGTGTACATCATGCAAATAAACGAATAGCCCTAAGGTGGTCACTCTTGGTCCTAGAAGTATCCAGTCTAACTGAAGAGTAAAGCAAGGCATTTCCAAAGTTTGAACAGGTGAAATTTGCTGTTTCATGCTATGACTACGTAAAAGCCGAACTATTAGTGATCCTAACAGGCTGCTGCCGTCCATATCAAGCCAAATAATGTATCAATAAAATGAGTCATAGCATGTACGTTTTAGTGCGGGTGTAATACCAGGTATATAGGCCTTCCACGACAAAGGCCAGCAGATTGTGTTGAATTATCTTCAGTTGTTCACAACAAGCAAGGTACCAACATACCCAACAGTCTGCACTGCAATATTAGATGCGATTCTGCAATTGGACAACATTTGCTAGATAATCTTGAGCATGCAAAGAATCGCACTTACAGTCCATTTCATACTGTCAGTGAGGTTGAACTATGACACAATTGCACATACTGGGAGCTACATAAATTACTGCTGAGGACCTTGTTCTTTAGAGACAGAAAGAACCTGTATACTCACTGTGACTGTTTCAACTCAACAACACATGTGGCAGACATTTGCTAGTTCACTTCTCAGTCTAACCAATACAGTCATCCTGCCTGGTTTAGAATTTAAACAAAGCGAAGGAGTTAAGTGGTAGTCAACATTAGAAGAGACATTCTTCATGGTAATGTTGCTACCACAGTCCACTTGGCAACCAGTTAGCTCTCCTCATGGAGAATAAAAGTCAACAGTTCCCTTGAATTGGTATTCTTGCAAATTGTCCTGCTGAGTACAAGACAAAAACATTCCTTGAAATGTGCCTTTTTCCAGCATGCAGGAGAATTCTCTCAAACGACAAAAAAGAACCTGGTGTCAAACATCTAACAGGCCAACAAAGGAATTCTCATGCTGCCAGTGACAAGAAAAATAAAACAGACCTGTGATGCCATTTAGAAAGATAAAAGCAGTTATTGGAGATATAAAAATGGATTGCATGCATTGTTCCTTTTCCCCCTTTTTATTCTCTCATGGTACATGGGCATTGTTGGCAAGTACACTATTTGCTTCCGATCCTTAATCGGCCTTGAAATGAGGAGCTTACTAGGCCATTCCAGAGGCCAGTTAAGAGTCATTCACAGTGCTGTGGGCCAAGAGTCGCATGCAGGCTGGACTAGCTAAGGATGGTAGATATCCTTCCTTAAAAGGACTAAACCAGCTGGCTACTTATGTAACAACTGACAATGATTTCAAGACTACCATTACAGAGACTATCTTCCAGTTGCAGAATTGTTTCATTAATTCAATTTAAATTTCACCAGCTGACATGATAGATCTTGAACCCATGCCCCTGGACCATTCACCTAAACTTCTGGATTACGAATGCAGTGATAGTGACGAGCACATCCTCCTAAATGACATCAACGTAGCAACAAAGTAAGCTGCTGTCACGCCAATCCAATGAATTACCCTGCACGATGAAAAACATCTAAAGGAGATTTATGAAATCTGAACAAAAGCCTTCAATTCAATATGTGAAAGAAATTATGAAAATAAGTGGACAGGCAGTCCCTAGGTTGCAAACAGGTTCCATTCTGGAGACCATTCACAAATCGATTTGTACGCAAGTCAGAACACAATGCAGGACAACATATAGGAACCATTCATAAGTACTGGAATGGCTCATACATAGGATCTTTAAAATTACACCCCTGCATGAGCCCACATTTTTAAGTTCAAGTGTTGTGACTAAACAAAGCTTTCAGAAAATTTTGTAAGTTATGCTTAACTACTCTTCAGATGCTAACATGTGCTACAAACATTGCCCCTGAAGAGGGACAAAACAAAGAGTCAGATGAGATATGAAAAAAATAGTAACTTATTTTAAAAAATAAATCACCTAATAGCTTCCGATAAGTTTAAAATCAGAGATAACTCGCAATAAATCGCTTATATAATGTCCACAAAAATTATAGACACTCACCTTTACATGTTCTTCAGGAGAAATGGATGTCTTTGACGCAAACTTAACTTGAGCCAGACTTTGTTCAAGTAGGGCATCATACTTTACACTTCGCTTCCTTTTTCTTTTTTCTCTATTTTTTTCTTTGTCTTCTTCCTTTTCTTCTTCCTGCTGCGCAGACTCGGGGTCACCTATCTGCAGATCTCCACAAAGTGAAGATTCAAAAAGTGGCTTTCCATTCAAGTAAGTTTTAGTAATCCTCAACTTAATCTCTGGGGAGCCACTCTTTTTAGGCGTTGTTCGGGGTGGTGTTTTGTTTCCTCTGTTTTCTGTGGAGCATTCAACTGGAGACACAGCATGCTGGGATGGTGGATCTTGAACTACATCTGGTGCACTGGAATCTCCATTTAACACGAGAGAAGTCAAATCCTTTAATTTGTCTGATGATCTGTAAGCAGAAGTTGCATCATGTCCATTTAATCGGTGTATCACACCATCCTGAAGAGCAGCTGATAACGGTGTGACAGCTTTGTCAGTCAGCATTGAGCGCTCAGAAGCCACGTCACCGTTTTGACTCTTCTTATTAGTCATACTAAGAATCTCAGGAACTTGTTTCATAGTTATGGGATTAAGTAACTCATGTGGCAGTGGCCGGGAACTCCCCATCATACTCTGTGGGTGCCGGTATGGCTGAGCCATGGTGTTCCAAAGTTAGCAGTCACAAAGAGCTTTAGGTAGGGAAAAGAAGAGACGATCTGATTAGAAAAAAGCACTTTGGCAATCAAGGAAATTGCAGAGTAATATCATGAAGTTAAGTACCTGGAAGTGTTATGTCTGCAAAACATGGAGTATAAGAAAAGGAATTGGACAATGTCATTTGGTCCTTTCACGTTGCTCTGCAACATAATTAGATGTCTGACCTTCTACTTGAACTCCACTTTCTTACCAGATCCTCACATTGTTTGACTTCCTCAACATTCAATAATTTAATTGCCCTAAATCTTGACTATATTAATTGAGTGGGCAGCCAAAAGTTTTCTAAAAGAATTCCCAAGATTCATAACTTTCCCGTGAAACAATTACTCTTCATCTCACTATTAGATGTCTGACTCCTTACCTGGCAATTTCCCTAATTCTTAACTGCTCAGAGAAAATTACTTTCAACTTTGCCTGACGCATTGTCTACCTACATTTTATAAATAATTTTAAAAGGAGATTACTTCTCATTCTTGTAAAATCAGAGAATATAGGCCCATTCTGCTTAATCTCTTTAAGCACACTCCTCTCATTCCAGAACAGCAACGAGAGAAACTTTGCTGCACCCTCTCAAAGACAATTATATCCTCTCTTCGGAATGACAAAGCAAATCTCACCAAATGCCCTCCATAACTGCGGTAAGGCTTCCTTGTTCTTATACTCCAAAGACCTTGGAATAACAGCTTGGGCATTATTTGGTGTCTAATTGATGACATTACCTGCAAGTTAACTTTTATAATTTATGTACAAAGGGCCCACAAATCCTTCTATGTACTATCATTTATGTCTAACATTTCAAAAATATTTTACCTTTCAATTCTTCAAAACAAGTGAATAGTTTCATGCTTTCCCAAATCATGCTCAAGCCTCTTGCATACAGATTACTTCCCCACATAGCATTGAGAGGGAGCAAACTTGGATACATTACACCTGGTTCCCTTATCTAAAGCATTACAATAGATTGGAATTGCTGAGGTCCATGCACTGTCCCCAGCTGCTCTTCGAGTCACACAGCACGGAAACAGACATGTTGGTTCAACTTGTCCATGCCAACCAAGTTTCCGAAACTAAACTAGTCCCATTTAATGGTGTTTGACCTGTATCCCTCTAAACTTTTCCTAATCATGTACCTGTCCAAAAGCCTTTTCAATTCAATTTGTAATTGTACCCGAATCTACCACTTCCCCTGGCAGTTCATTCCACGTACGAACCACTCTGTGTGAAAAGGTTGCCCCTCAGGTCCCTTATAAATCTTTTTCCTCTCACCTTAAACATACGCCCTCTAGTTTTGGGCTGCCCTACTCTGGACAAAAGACCTTGGCTATTCACCCTATCCATTTCCCTCATAATTTTATAAACCTCTAAGGTTACCCCTCAACCTCCTAACAAAGTCTCAGCCTATCCAGCCTCTCCTTATAATGGAAACCCACCAATACCATCAACATCCTAGTAAATCTTTCTGAACACTCTCCATTTTAATAATACTCTTCCTATAGCAGGACAACCAGAACTGTACACAGTAGTCCAAAAATGGTCTCATCAATGTCATGTACAACCACAACATGATGTCCTAACTCCTACACTCAATGGTCTGAGCAATAAAGGCAAGCATGCTAAATGCCTTGACCACTCTGTCCACTTGTGATGCAACCTTCAAAGAACAATGTATCTGAATCCCTCAATCTCTCTGATCTACAACACCACCTTTACATTCCTGTCTATCATGCCTGAAACATCTAAACCATTGAATGGCGAGCTGCCAGTCCTGCCCTTCTTTCAACCAAGTTTCTGTAACGGCTGCAACATTGTAGTCCCATCTACTAATCCAAGCTCTAAACTTATCTGCTTTAGCTGTAATACTCCTTGCAATAAAATGAACACACTTCAGACCGCTAGTCTCACTGTATTTATTAAACTGGCCCTGCCTGTTCTTCCGACTAGACTTACTTGATTTAACCCCTCTCTTCTATTCAAACTCTCCAATTGGTGACCCCACATCCTGCAAGAGGAGCATGCCACTGCCTTCAGTCCAGGCAGAAAGAAAGAAAAGTTAAAGAGCTGTTACCTGTACCCCTGAAAGATTCAGAAAAGATTTACTAGGGTGTTGCTGGGTCTGGAGGGGCTGCATTATAAGGAGAAGCTAGATAGGCTGGGACATTTTTCACCGGAACATAGGAGGTTTTATAAAATCATGAGGGGTATAGATAAAGTGAACAACCAGTAGATAAAGTGAACAGCCATCACAGTAGAATTCTGGGAGACTGCCACAGTCATCACAACTGTACAGGAGATCTCTGCAGGACACACTCCGTGAAACGACAAAGAAGGGTAGTGAATCAGAGGGCAGCTGAGAGTCATCACAGTGGACTTCTGGGAGCCATTGTCACAGTCATCGCGACTATACAGGAGACCTCTGCAGGACACCCTCTGGGAGACGGCATTGAAGAGCAGTGAGTCAGAGGGCAGCTGAGAGTCATCACAGTGGACTTCTGGGAGATACTGCCACAGTCAGCGTGACTGTATAGCAAGTCAGAGACAACCTGGTGTCAAGATGTGGTTAAACCTGAAAATTACATTGGTGTTTCCCACCCACCCACCCTCCTCTGACCAAAAAAAAATTCTGAGAGTATGATAACTGGCAAGGTAAAGGAGTACAAGGGAGCAGCCATTAAGAGAGTGGGCCAGTGTTACAGTGGAAGTGCTGAAGCCTTTGCTTGAGCGGTTTTGGCGTGAGGAGGCTGAGCAGGGATACAGATAAGAGGTTGAACTTTACTTTGCTTTCAGTCTAGATAGAAAGAGTGGGGATGGCAGTTAGGGCACTGACAATGCTCTTCTTGCAGGATGTGGGAGATCAGGGAGACTTCTAGTGGCTACACCTGAGAGAACTGCATCTGGCTGCAGCTCCTGACAGACTGAGTCGGGGAGTCGGAGCTGGGTGCACTGAGGATCATCTGGGGTGCAGAGAGCACCATTGGTAAGAACGATAGTGAAATGGTCACTCCTAAGGTGCAGGCTGCATGTAGCTGGGTGACCACCAGAAGAGGCAAGGCAGATATTGAGGGGAATCGCCACAGGGGAACACTGCACCAACAGATACTGCTTGGAAACTGATGTGGGGGCGATGCAGAAAGACCTTTCAGGAGTTAGTAGCAGCAGTCTGGTCAATGGCGCTGTGACCAGCTCGGAGGCTCAGACAGAACGAAGACTCTGTGAGAGGGACAGACAGGAGATTCTGCGGCTGCAGAATTGACACTAGGATGGTGTGTTGCCTCCTGGGTGCCAGGGTCAAGGATGTAGCTGGGCAACTGCAGAACATTCTGAAGGGGGAAGGTGAAGAGCCAGTTGTCACTGTCTACTTTTGTCATTTGTACTGATGTACACAAAGGGATGGGGTCCTGCACAATGAGTATAGGAGTTAGGTAAGAAGTTAAAAAACAGAACCTCAAGCAAGGTGATCTCTGGATAATTCCCAGTGCCACATGCTATTGAGGATAGAAATATAAAGATAGGCCAGATGAATGTGTGGATGAGGAGCCGGTGTAGGGGTTGGGGTTTTCAGTTCTTGGATCAGTGGGATCCCTTCTGGGATAGTGGTGACCTATATAAGAGAGACGGGTTGCACTTGAATCTGAGGAGTTCCAATATCCTTATGGGGAGATTTGCTCGTGTTACCTGGGAAGGTTTAAACTAGCTTTGTGGGGGAGTGGGACTCTGAATAAGAGAGGGGTCATCAAGAAGTCAGGGGAAAATACACTAGACATTGAGAGCAAATTTATTTTTCAGGATACCCAGGGCCACAGTAAAAGAGCGAAAAGACTTCTGGTTTAAAGTGCACTTATTTCAATGCACAAGGCCTGACTGGAAAGGCAGACGAGCTCCGAGCAATGGATTGACTCTGTGGACTGGGTATTATAGCCATAACTGAAACATGGCTGAGAGAAGGGCAGGACTGGCAGCTCAATGTTCTAGGATACAGAATCTACAGACATGACAGAAGTACAAGCAAGTGTGGGGGCGGGGAGAAGAGTAGCCCTTTTGATAAGGGAGGACATAACAACAGTGCTTAGAGAGGATATTCTTAAGAGGTCATCAAATGACGCCATGTGGTTACAACTTAGAAACAAGATGGTTATTCTGTTGGGACTGTATTATAGACCCCCCAAATAGCCAGCGGGTACTAGAGGAGCAGATGCGTAAAGAGTCTGCAGATACCTGTACGAATAATAGAGTAGTACTGATTGGAGATTTTAATTTTCCCTGTATTGACTGGGCCACCCAGAGTGTAAAAGGGCGAATGGGGTGGAATTTGTCAAATGTGTCCACGAAAGTTTCCTAAATCATTACGCTGAGGGCCCTATTCGGGAGGGTGCAACACTGGACTGCCTCTTAAAAGACTAGGTCAGGCAAGTGACTGAAATCTCAGTTAGAGAGCACTTTAAGTCCAGTGACATAGTTATGGAAAAAGATAGAATAGATCCACAGGCTAAGGTGCTGAACTGGAGGATGGGCCAATTTTGGGGCTATTAGACCTAGCAGTGGTTGATCGGGTGAGTCTGTTTGAAGGAAAAGGAACGACTCGCAAATGGCAGGCTTTTAAAAGTGTGATATCAAGAGTCCAGGGACTGTATGTCTCTATTAGGGTGAAGAGAAAAGCTGACAGGGTTAGGGATCCCTGGCTGATTAGGGATATTGAGGCTCTGGTCAGGAATTGTACTTTGGAAAGTCAAACCAAAGTAGGACTTATACAGTAAATGGTAAGGTCCTGAGGAATGTTGTGGAACAGAGGGACCTAGGAGTACAAGTATATTGTTCGTTGAAAGCAGCGTCACAGGTGGACAGGGTGGTGAAGAAGACATTTAGCATGCTGGGCTTCATCTGTCGAGGCATTGAGTATAGGAGTTGGGATGTTATGTTACAGTTGTAGAAGTCATTGGTGAGACCACACTTGGAGCATTGTGTACAGTTTCGGTCA